GTTTATTTATTTTCTTTGGATTTTTTTTTTGTTTTTTGTTTGTTTGTTTGTTTGTGTTTTCACCGTCCATATTTTTTGTTTTTCCACGTGCGCGGCCTTTTTCCCTGTAATGAATCCTTTATTCTCTGTATATATGTAAATACGTACATATTGGAGCGGAACCAAAGAGAAGGAAAAGTGAGAAGGGGCGGGATGAATTTTATTCAGTTGTGTATTTTTGGTTTGTTTTGTCTTGTGTCCTTTATTTATTTATTTTGTGAATTATGCACTTTTAAATATTTTGGCTGCTATTATTTGGTTTGGCTTTTTTTTTTGTTGTTGTTGTTGTTGCTGTTTTCATGGGGATGGGTTTGTCTCTGATGACATGAGGAAGAGCAGGCAGCCACGCCACCGCGATACGTCGCCCCCTCCACCCAACGTGCGGAATTAAATGGTGACAGACGTCTGTCTCTCTGTTTGTGTGGGTGGGTGGGTGTGTGCAGGACGCCGGTGACGCGAGGAGGGGGAAGGACGTGCGGCACATGCTTCATGACAGAAAAAAAAAAAAAAGGCTGTATAAAAGAGCGGGGACGCGTATTCTGTTGTCTTTTAACAAATCATCCCACCGTTTCTTTGGGACGCAAATTAATTCTGTGGTGTCCGATCACGTTCACGCATAGAAATTTCCTTCCTGACCGTCTTTTTTATTTCTCTGAGAGGCGTAATTCCCATCTTTTTTTTTTTTCTTGCTGTTGTTGTTGTTGTTGTTGTTGTTGTTGAAGTCTCTTGTTGTTACAATCGTCTCCGTGGTGCCTCATGCAGCTTCTGGATGTACAGCCATACGAGACGGCTTTGCAACGATTGCTGCGCGCCGGAGTCTGCAGTGACGATCAGTTGCACGATTATCATCTCTCTCAGGCCTTCCGTAGCTTGGCATATGCTGTGAACCGTGCGTCTCTCTCCGTTGCTGCTCTGCTGCCCTCGCACGGCCCTCAAATATCCAATGAAGCACCGCTTTCACCCCCGTCGCCCGGTCTAACATCCTCATCCACAACCAATGCGGGTGCAACAGGCGGTGCAGTCGTACTGTTTCGCATGTGTACATGTGCGTTGGCCTCCCAGGCGAGTTTAAGAACGCTGATATACGTATCCACACGTTTACTGTGCGATGAGGCTTCGGCATTTGGTGAGGGGAATGAACGGCCGTGTTGCACAACAGCATGGGTCGAGGCACTTTGTTCCCCTGGTGTCAGAAGATCATTCCTACACAAACAAATGGGTGTTCATCGTCGTCTCACGTTGGGCTATTTGCTTCTTCTTTCCGGTACAGTCCGCGCTGTGACTCATGGCTGTGCCAAGGGCAAGCGACTTCATAGCCATTTTGTGCAATTTGCCCAACAATTACTGGCTGACGTGGTGCCGTGTGTGGCACTGATAGCGGACACAAGAGAGGCCACGACACTGGCAGACGCTGCTTTTGTAGACGGTGATGACGCATCATTACGGGATGGGACAAAAAAAGAGTTGCACGTGCCTTCACTTATGACAGTGGAGGCGAACAATACACTGCTGCATTTATTTCATGGGATTGCGCTGGATGTATTGGAGGTTCATCAACATGATGAGAAGCAGACAACGACTAGTCGTCGTGCGGTGTTGGATCGTGATGCTCCGTCCCGTATTTGGTCTGTGGTGTCTATTTTACAGAGGGCATTACTCCGTGCGCTTGAATGGGTTCAGAGTGAAATTATTTGGGAAATGAGTTCCATCAACTCTGTGGATCCTTCAACGAAAACGCAGGCGGTGAATGAGACCTTCGCATTGGTCAGAATTGCTCTTGAAGATGGATTCGCACAACTGATTAAAAAACAAGAAACACTTGAATGCTCTCGGCGAGCTGTTGAAAAGCAGTTTGGGCAAAATTCAAAAGACTATCACGCCATCAGTGGCATGATGTGGACAAACACGTTGCGACTTTTCTTTTTTTGTCGGAGCTTATCAAATGCGTGGACATACATTTACGGCGGCCTTGGTGAAATGGGGGTGCAACACACCGATGAACAAATACTCGCTCTTATTGCTTCCTTTGTGTCTTCTGTGCCATCATTTGAGGGAGAAGAAAAGGAGCATGACGTGTTTCTTGCCGCCACAATGCTTCTTTCAGGAGCGCTTGCGGCTGTAGCGGCGGCCCCTGCTCCATCGATGCAAGCTGCACTTTGGTTCAGTGAATTGAATTTAACCCAACAAATTCATAATACGATTGTTCAACGAGGACTTCGATACCGGGACGAGAATGTGCAAAAGTTGAGCGCCTTGCTGTCGCGGCTAATATTGTACAGCTCATCTAATAACTCCGCCTTTCGCATTATTGCCGACTCTCCCGATCAACTGTTGGAACTTCTTTCGAATGGCCGCGATGGGGCGTCGCAGTGCGTCATTGGGGTTATGATACGTGCGGCCGTTGAGCGACCCCATTCCATTCTTCCTTCACTTTTTCGCTTGCTGCAGCATGGGGACACCAACACGAGACGCAATGTTCTGGATGTACTCTCCGCGCTTCCAAAGGCCTCCGATGACTCTGCATACGGAGGAGCCATTGCACCCGAGCGGATGCGGCCTGTATTGC